GCGCCTCCCAAGCAAACGCATCGACCCATCTAATGCGTATGGTGCGGGAACGACAGCCCGCGCGCGCACCTCTGGCGCGCCCGCGGGCATTGCGTGGGGCCGTTGTGAACGCGTGGCCAGGTCCAATTGTTATCGGCCGCCGCTGGGAAACACTTTCGTGTCCAACTAAGAATGGAGACTTGCGTTTCGCGGGCAACAGAAAACACAGCAACTGCGCGCGCACTCGCATCGCGTTTTGACAAGGCGGATGGCACGCGATAGACATGGCCCACGCAACGTCCAAGCCGAACGCCGCTACGGCGTGACTTTAATTCCCGCGCGCGCGCTGCGACTTCCACGCTGCTGAAGGCGCAGGATGTTGCGCGCGCGGCGTCCTGGTCCGTGCGCCGTAGGCGCGGTGGCATTTGCAGTTGTTGCTGCGCCGCGAGGTCGGCGCTCTCGCGGGCGAGCGAACGTGGGTGCGCGCGGCGCGGGGCGCGGTGGATACTTGCGCCGGCTAGTGCGTTGTCTAGACTAGACCGAAAAGGGCTGTGCAAGACAACCAGCGCAGACCCGCCCGCGTAAGACGCGCTGCTCTGGCAAACGAACATTGAACCGCACAAAGAAGCGACGTCGACGATTTGCCGGGCGCAGGGGTGCGTTGGGCGGCGGCGCGGGGTCGGGTCGCGCTTCGCAATTGGAGCTTGCGAAGTGGCGCTCGGAGAGAATTGCGCAGCATGAGCACTCCCGCGCGCGCGCGATTGGAAGCACGCGCGCCGAGAAGCTATGATGCAGTTTCGAGTGGCAGCATGCCTGCCGCAAGGCCCAGTCGAACATCGACGGGTGCCTTTACATTGCGCATAGCGCATAGTTGCCCAAGTTGCGCGCTTGGCTGCGCGGCTTCGGGCACGATGCGCGTTAAACCCTGATTGGACAGGCGGCGCGCTCGAGTGTAGCGCGACGCGCGCCAGCAACGCCGCCTACAACTACGCCAAGCACAAGCGCGACCCTGGCAATATCCGATGTCCGGCGGGAAGCTTTAGCAACGCAAACAAAACATGGGTTACGAGAGGCTCCGCGCGGCATCCTGCGGAACGGCCCGAGATGCCCTGCGCCCACAACCCAGGCGAAGTGGCAGGATTTGCCGAAAGCCAATAGAGAGCAGGATACACAGAGTACAATGCAGGGGAGCATTTCCTTGAACCGATCTCTGCTTGGGCCCGCAACGCCTACGCAAAGATCATCCATGGGAATGCACCCCCCTGGGGCCGCGTCAATTCGAACGCTGTTTAGGGGGCAGGCTGGGGCCCAGAAAGCCTGCCACTCTGCGCGACAGTCACGCGGAAGTTGGCCACCCCCCAGAATCCAGTTCGTTGTTTTGTAAGCGTGCCATCGCATCCCATATGCGTCGGCGTCCCCACTTGGCCCCTGACGTTTTGAAGCAACCTGACAGTAGGCGACGATGTCCTTCGTGAGCTCCGCGGAAAATCAACGTCCAGGCGAGGGCGGATCGTTGTCCATGCCAATTGCAGGCGCTCTTGCGCAACTTCGTTATTCTCCACGATGAAAGCTTCCGCTGGGTTAGCTGAGGCGTTGCGAGCTCTCGGGTCGTGCACAGTGATCTCCATTGGTGGTTCATTGTGCTCGGCTTGTCGCCCCTCTCCGCCATCGGCCCCGCCCACGGCGCCAAAATGTGAACGCTCGTCGCCGCCGTGCCCAGGAGCTGGCGGCCTCGGCTCGGGTGGGCCAGGGGTTTGCCTCCTCTTGCCGTACCAGCCGGGGTACGCAGCATCGAGGATGCCATGGCGCGCCGCCAGGGCCAGCGCCCACCTCATCGTGATCTCTGCCTCTGCCCACTGATGACGCGGATACACGCGCGGGGCTACCGATGCCACTGCCCAGGCGACTTGATTTTGGAAACGGTGCACAACTGCTCCGCGAGTCGTAGGGACGAGGACCCAATGTTCAACTACACCCTCGTTGCTCCAATTGCCGTTCGCCAACGTCTCGATCACAGAACGCCGCACTCGGCCAACAACATCGCACTCGTCGAAGAACAAATCAAGAACGTGGGCACAATACTTTCAGAAAGAGTCCGGAGGCACACCCTCGATGATCCTCACTGATGGCACCTAGCGCCGTAAGAATTACCTGCAGTGTTGCATCGCCCCAGGCTGGTTCAGACTCAAAGTAAGATGAACCATTGCATTGGCGTCGTCCTTGAGGCAATCCGATGCCTTCCCGACCGCGTTGCTCGCAACGTGCACGGCAAACGAAACGGATCTCGTTGTCGCCGAGCTTCACTGGCCGATTGAACGCCTTTGCGATGGCAGCGTCCTTACCTGTTGTGGAGATGTGGATGTGCCGCTTGAACTTCTTGGCGAAATCGAAACGCGGCCTCGCTGCTGAGAGGCAATCGTTGTCATACTCGGCGGTTCCACGATCGATACATTGCAGCCAAGCCATCAACGTAAAGTTCTCGATCGTGCAACGGTCGCCGCAGCCCAACACATATGCAACAACGCCACCCCAATATGTTTGCAACATCTTCTGCTTCACCGTGTCTTCGTCCGTCACATCGGCGATCTCCAGCATTTCTGGATCGGCGAGCGCCGTCTCAAGGCTGGTGACTTTTGCTGCAGACCGCGCCCGTGCTCTCAACGGCGCCTCATCGCCGCTAGTGGCCTCCACGTACACGACCGCCTCGCCGCCAGCCTCGATGATCGAACCGGTCAGCCTTGAAATGTTCATCTCAGTCCGCACCCGCTGGAAAATGATGGGGCACGTCGCGAACAACTCCGAAAGCGTTCTGGCATTCCTAGAGTGAGTGTTCGCTGCTGGTGCTCGAGCTTTGTCCGACGCACTCGCCCCGTCAAGTAAGTTACTCACGATCTGAAGCCCACTCTGACGAACTTTTCGAGGCGAGGCGTCCAGCAACGAAGGCGATAAACCCAATCAGGAAAGAAACTCGCTTGACTTCTCCAACCGACGCGGCTCCGCCATCGGTTTGTATGCTATGATCTCGAGCTCTGGAGCAGGGTCCACATCAGCTGGCTGTAAAACTTCATCATGTGATGGATCTGCATCTGGGCCACCGTCGGGAACTGTAGAGCGACCATCTGGCTGTAGAACCTCATCACGTGGTGCTGGGCCAACATCTGGCGAAACACCTGTAGAACCACAATGCTCAGAATGACCACCTGGACCGGGATCGGGTTCCGAACCTCAACAGCTCTCTGCAGAATCTGCCACCACACCGAAAGAAGCGAGAGGACCATCACCACTATCTGTTGAAGAATCTTCCACCGCACCGCAAGAAGCGAAAGGGTTAACACTCTCCGTTGTGTTCGCCACCGCCGCAAAAGAAGCGAAAAAGTCAGCTCCTTCAGATGAACCGTGTATCGCGGCGATGTCGTGGCACTCTAGAACCGTCAGAGGCACGCCGATATGGATAATATGGAGGGCGGCGGTTACACCACCAAAGAAACATGGAAGAAGAGCTTCATGAGCGAGATATGTAATATCATCTGAACTGAATGAAACCACTCGGCCGAAATTGGCTATGGACGGACTCGCAATGAAAGCTAATGCCCAACCGCACCCCTGGAACCAGGACGGAACTCGAGACGATTCAGGCGCCCCTGGAAACGCCCCTCGGCGACACGAAAATCCGTCGAGTCAAAACCAACGGCTGCTCGATACTATCGGGGCCCCGCGGATTGCAATCGGCGCGGCGCAGCTGATCGGGACGGCCCTGAGTCTATGTTGTCGAAACGCCCCCTCCTCAATCTGGAGCAACGGCTCATCGGGAACACCCACGCAACCTCACGAAATCTATGACGCAAGAGATGCTGGGACCTCTGCATCCCCACCTCCTCTCTCTCTCTCTCTCTCATTTCGCCTCCATCCATCCGTGAAGCGACGAACAGAAACGGTGGTGGCGGGAGACGGGAAGAATATGGATAACAGAAGAACTGGTTTGCCGGTCAAATGGCGGCGCGAGGGAACAGCGCGATTGCACTCACAGCAACGCAACCCCCACAAGGACAGTCTGATTGTTCGGAAACACGACGCGATGTTCCCAGGCACGTTGCAGTGCTCGCAAGCTTTTGCGTCATTATCGCAGGCTCCGGTTGGTGTTCACCAGCAAACTTGGTGTTCGCATGTTCTGGGGGGAGAGACCTTAAATCGTGAACCGCGCGTGCGTCCATGTGTAGTTTACGTAAACACACGAATCGTCTACGACCTGACATGAACAACCTGGGCTCATCTTTGCACGTGGCATGGTGACTATATGCAACCACGTTCTGTTTGCTCTGGTGTGGTTCTGACAAGTTCGTTGGCATCGCCGCCTGTTTTAATTACGTGCTAGCGGGCAGCCTTTTTTGTCAGATGTTCAGGATATTGTTTTCAATGTGTTTCCCTATTTCCCAAATCTATTCTGGTCCTAATCTGGTGTATTCTTTCCTAATTCTCAGGATGGCCCTCTGTCACAAGAGAGGAATCCACAAACGCACGCGCCCCAGCGATGCCACAAGGGGCAGGGCGACGCAGAGTGCGGCGCGCAGCGCGGCCAGGGCGAGCAGCGCTCCTCTGCTCTTCCCCGCTCCTTTTATGTTGAGGGCTGGCAGAACCCACGCTGCTCATTCTCCCTTCTCCTCCTCCCCCTCCCCCTCCCCCTCCTCCTCCTCCTCCTCCTCCTCCTCCTCCTCCTCCTCCTCCTCCTCCTCCTCCTCCTCATCATCATCATCATCATCATCATCATCCTGCTCTTTCCGGGGTCCCTGGAAGTCCCGACCCTTTCCCCGGGACTGGCTTTTCATCCTGAGACGTTTCCTGACGCCCCGGAGGCCTGGCAAGGCCCCCCGAGGCCGGAAACGGCCAAGCACCTCCCGCCCTGATTGTTTCACGACGCGATCGTGTCTAGGCCCAGACTGCAGAGGTGAACCACGCGCGCGCGCGAGCACCCGGCTGCCGCGTCGGCGAGAGGCAGAGTCGCAAGAAGCGTGCTATGCCGCGGCCTCCCGCACGCGCTGCTGGGCCGACGACTTCCTCGACTGCGCGCGCGCCATCCTGCGCTGGGCGGAGAGTCAGAGGAAGATAAGGAGGGGAGAGGGGAAGGAGGAGGAGGAGGAGGAGGAGGAGGAGGAGGAGGAGGAGGCGTAGGAGGCGTAGGAGGAGGAGGAGGAGGAGGAGGAGGAGGCGAAGGAGGAGGAGGAGGATGTTATAAGGCGGAGGAGTAGGGGAGGCACAGCCTGGGGACCCGACCTCTGGCGGCGCGCACAAGTGGGTGGCGCGCTGGGGGGTCGCCGTGCAACAAGGCGGCGGGGGAGCGTCCGAGAAGGCAGGGGGCGGACTGGAAGCTCTGATCGGCTTCCAGCCTTTATAAGATTTGCCATTGCTCGGACGTCCATTCCCTGTGCCTTGTTCGGCTTCGTGCGTGTTTTTTTGTTCGCAAGATGATGCAACACGTTCCTAGACGGTTCTTGCCGAGAGAAAATGTACACGCCCGAGCGATGCCAAGAAGAACTCCCCTTGGAAGCCTGCGAACACTTCCAGCAGCACCCTTCGCATCTTGGCGGCGCGCAGGAGGGGTGTGGCGCGAGGGGGGGCACCTCCCAGGAAGTCAACGGGGTTGGACGGCTTGGGCCTCTCAGAAGCGCCCGGTGGCTTCTAGAAGGCGGCCCCTCAGAGGCCAGGAGGGCCCCTGGGACGCCCCCCCCCTGGCCATCTTGCAGGCCCCGCCCCCGCCTTCTCAGGAAGGCGGCGCCCCCGCGCGCCACCCTCCCTTTTGCGCGCGCCGCCGAGCCCGGCGCAAACCTCTGGCCTGGGCTGGGCACTGGGGTCGATCTCATATACAATCGGACTCGATTGGACAGGGAACGCGAGAGGACACAAGACCCATCCGAGGGCCACATTGCCGCAGGAATGTAGGAAGCATGGGTCGCGAGACACAGGACACAAGGGTACCCTTGATTTGGCAGTGTCGACCTACTAATCTGGGCCGACTGTAGCGGCAGCGCATCGCCCGAAAGGCGCACGCAGCTCCGGCCCTGCCCCAGGCGGCCCCATGGTGAGCGCTTTTTTATTCGGCGTTTCGACCTTGGGGGGAAGGGGGGGGGTCTGGCTCCGGACCTCTGCCTAGTGCGACCAGGCGCCAAAATCAGCCAAGATCTACTCCACGGGGGGGGAGAAGGGGGGGTGCGAGGGCCCGCGCGGATCGGCAAAATAATGAATAGAAAAACGCTCACATGGCGAGGCGCCGACCTGCGGCAAGCCACCTCCTCACTCCTAAACGTCACGCAGTGAGGCGTGGTCTCGTCGAGGGGTCTGGGTAGTCTTCGCTAACTCAACCCACCGGAGTGCGCTGCCTTGAGCGTGGGCTCAGGCCTGTGGGGGCCCCAGAACCGTGTGGTGACAGACCGCGCGGTGACCTCGGCATCCCCAACCACTTCGCCACGCGGTCCGTCACCACACAGTCTTGGGACCCTGGAGGCCCTGGTCGCCCGAGACGTCCTCGGAGAAAGACCCGAGCCCCAAAAGCCGCGCAGAGACCACAAATTCCCACTGACTCACCACGCGGTGTGGTCACCACTCGGCGGCGAGGCCCAGGGGGAAGTCAGAGGGAGAAGGCCTTCCCCGAATGCGGCGGAACTTCTCAGAAGCCCGCGCACCTTCTGAGACGCTGTCTGCGCCTTCGGGGAAGGCTTAGGGAACTTCCCAGAAGGCCCGAGAGGCTTTCCGAGCCCCGCCCCTTCTCACTCCCCCCCCAGGCCCTCCGTGGAGCCACGCCGTTTGGGGGCCCCCGAGATCTTGATTATCGGCAGTGTGTCGCTGGGAGGGTGCCGATGGCGCTGGACCTGCCCCAGGCGGCGCCCTGGAGGCCCGAGCTCAGGCCCCAGGCGGCGCACGACAGAGGCCCGAGCCCGCGCCCTCCTCCTCCTCCTCCTCCTCCTCCTCCTCCTCCTCCTCCTCCTCCTCCTCCTCCTCCTCCTCCTCCTCCTAGTCTTCTTCCTCCTCCTCCTCCTCCTCCTCCTCCTCCTCCTCCTCCTCCTCGTCCTCCTGATTACTCCTGGGGGTGGTGGGGGGCAGCGCGCGGGTGCGCGTGCGCGCGGGGGGCGCTTCTCGATGCCGGCGGCGTTGGGAGGGGGCCGCGCGGGCAGCGCCAGAGCTCGGGGCCCCTGCGAGGCGCCGGGCCTGGGCGAAGACCGGAACGTCCCGGCCAGAGCGCCGACGGCATCCCCAGCTCAGCCGGGGGGCGGGGGTGGCACGCGGGGGGCAGCCTTCTGAGAAGGCTGGGGGAACTCTCGAGAAGGCAGGCGGCTTCTGGGAAGCCCGCTCGGCTTCCGATCGAAGAGCTGGTCCGCGAAGCCCCTGAGCACTCCAAACAAGGCAACCCCCCCGCCGAGGGCCGCCGAGGGCCGTCGAGCCGACGGCCGCCGCGGGCCGCCGAGGGCCGTCGAGCCGACGGCCGCCGCGGGCCGCCGAGGGCGCCGGCGCTCCGGCGCCCGTCTCGGCAGG